TATATGGATAAAAAAAATTCATCTTTAATGTAGATTTAAGATACTTTTGGATGATTTAAAAGAGTGAAGCCATGAAACTTACAGCTTATGTCCAATTTCACTAAATTCGTGATGGGAGCTGTTAAATTTGTATTTGAAGCCTGGCAGGTATATTCTGTGAGCAAATCTTCTCTTTTGAGTGATTCGATGATCATTTCGTTTCTAACAAGCTCCTTTGTTTCATCAGCTTCGTACGATTGATCAATCAAATCTGATTTGGAACGCCACCAGGTCACAGAAGGTAGTGGGTGACCTGAAACAAAAGGTAAACTAACAATACATAAAATTAAAAAAAAGACTACAAAAGAATCTTAGTTCAGTTTTTATCTGAAAACATAGGCCATCTAAGTAGGAAATATAGAAAAAAAACCATCTAAATACCCCTAAATATAATTATCTAAATACCCATATATGTCCTAACTGTTGTTTTTTTATGAAGGGTATAATGTTATATTTAAAAAGTAATTTTACAAATTATTTGTGTTTGCATATCAATAGAAAAGTGTCTTTGCATAGATTTAATATTTAATTTAAAAAGTTCCTCAAATAGACATAATGAAGTTTAAATTAATTTAAATAATTATTTTAATTATAAAACATACTGTGTCCATTTTCAACAGAAGAATTTTTTTTTTTACCTGATTCTTCTTTGCTGATTTTAAATTCATTGAGATCTCTCAAATTTTTTCAAGAATTATAAAGAAAGATTCTTTTCCATTTTTTACTTTCTTAATCCTTATGCAGAATTTTTAAATAGAAATTAAAAGGAAAAATTTGTTATAAAAATATTTCCCAAATGATTTAAATACTTCTTTTTTCTCATCCAACTTAAATATTTTTTTTTCTAAATAAAATTAAAATCTAAAAATTTCTAACTTATTCTCATAACTGTGAGTAAAAATTTATTGCTTTTAAAAATAATATTTTAAAAACTCAATCTAAATATTTACTTATTAGTGTCGTATATTTACTTAATATTTACTTAAATATTTACTTATTACTGTCTTATAATTTTAGATAATTATTATCCGTATTTTTGAAATGTTCTCAGGAATATTAAAGAAAATATCCCTTTGCCTTTTTAATGGTTAAATATTTCGAATCATGGAAGTTGAATTTTATTCAAATTGTCAAACAATTTGAAATCTATCAAATATTTTGTAAATTGTCTTCATTGTTATTTTCTTTTTCCTCAAAACATTCTATCTTCTTAATAGTATTTTCAGAATTTATTTCCTTTTCTAAATATGAAGTTTAGCCACTAAAAATGGGATTTTCTCGTTTAAAACTTTCAAAAGTTCGAAATTGTGAATTTCCTGTCAGTTGCGTGGGAGATTTTAACCAATGTAGCACACGTCATTTTGCATTTCTTAAATTTATTTTTTTTCTTTTGACTCACATATCTACTGAAGCATTGAAATGCAATCCGTCGAGCATTTCTCCATCACATCAAAACTCTTATTTCCTTTTGCGGAGAATTTGAAAGCTGTAGTTGTCATCGCATATTTTCCCGTCTATTCTCAAGTTTCTGCACTAAGGTCTTTTTGATATATCCTATTTTCGAAGAGCGTATTTTCTCTTTTTTTAACAAAAGATCAACCCTCCTGATGTATGAAGGTAACATTTGACAAGATTTCCTGCAGAATGACAGAAAGATTTCGGAAGCATTTTCAAATACTTTAACGATGTATATTTTGGTATAGGAAGGAAAACATGTATTTATTTGATAAATCCGTGCTTACGGTTTTATGAATGACAAATAAAACTTGATATTCTTAAAAGAAATAACTAAACAAATGCAATTTTAGAGATGTAATCTTGAATTAAATTTAACTTTTATTACCATCTGAATGAAGATAAGAAATCATTTTTAATCAAAAATGTCTTCTATATCATTTTTATAGTATGGCACTTTAAGAATAACGCTTTTATATAATTGAAAATATAATAAACAAACTATGTAAATTGGAAAAAAAAGTCTTGAATGTAAGAAGTACCAAAATTGCTTCATGAAACAAAATATCATTTCCGATAATGTTTGATCAATTAACTGAAAGTTTATTCTCAATGATTCAAAGATCAGAGTTTAAATATGCTAAATAATTGGTGCTGCATGGTAATTAAGTTTTGAAATTAGGCAAAAAAAACTGCTTATTCAGAATATTTTTTTTAAAATTTTAACGAATTTTGGATCCTTAAATTTTGAAAAGCAGCCGTAATCTAGATAATATATTACCATTAGCTTAGTGAGGATAGCTGTAAAGTCTGGATCTTTTACTCTTAAAAAATTTATCTAGTAGTAAGTGAATTAAAATGTATTGGGCTGCAATCATAAAACTAGTTATTCTAAGTATAATCACACTCAGCAAATACTTTTTAACAATTATTTGTAGTCTTTATTATTTAAAGCAATTATTTAATTCGACGTTTTCGATTAGCAAGTTATACAAGATTTTACTCTCTGATAAATTCGGGGGTTTTATTATTATTACTGGAGGACAAGTTGATTTGCATGGTTACACTTTTAGACAAAATCGATAATCATGAAACTTTCTTCGTTTTAACTGAAATAGTTTCCTGGTATTAGGCTCAAGTGACAAAATAACAGTCACTTCTTTAAGGAAATGAACTTCGTCAAAATTAAAGAAACATTTCGTCATCTTATTTAAAAAAAAAAAAAAAAAAANAAAAAAAAAAAAAAAAAAAATGAAAAAATGCTGAACGGTCTAACGTACTTAATTCTCAAACAATCACTTTACAGTTGGCACCATATAGGTGAATTAATTGCACCCTAACAACACAATAAGGACAAATAGAAAAAAAGAGATGAATTTCACCCATGCCAGGAGCGGGATTCGAAACCGAGACCTTCCGGGTGTATGGCCAACTCCTTAACTACCATATAATGAGTCGACTTTTTTCGATCGTGTAGTCTTGATTTTAGTTAATAATGAGCCTCATTAACTGAAATAATCGCATGCCTCATGAGATTTCAGTCGGGGAAACATTTTTGTCCTATATTTGAGAGGTACCGTTTCTTCACAAACCACACGATTTGGCGACGAAATGATTCTCAAAATTGACGAAATACTGCTCAAAAATTGCTGAATCTTCACAAGTGAGAGTTTTATATATTTTCATTAGAACAACTTTCTTCAGTGAACAAACGTATTCATGTTTGCATCATACCGAAGCAAAATTAGTAGAGTTGATTGAATTAAGTGACGAGCTCCCTCCTTCAAGTAAAGTTCACAAAGCGTAAAAAAGTACTCTGGAAAAATAAATTCATGATGAGCAGCTGTAATTGGTTACTAAAAATTTAATAAGAAACAATTTCTATTTTAAATGCTGTTTAAAATTACAAAATCATGCTGTTAAATATTTCTCAAAAATTATGTTTTTGATGTTTAAATGAAATATAATTTTATTATTAGTAATGTTTTCTTTTAAATTTGCTATTCAGAACTTATTTTTAAACAAAGTTTTGATGAAATAGTGCTAAAATAAAAGTTTAATAAAAAAATGACTAGAATTTTGATTTATTTGAATTCATAGAAAACTTTAAACTACTTCATGGCCTCAACTGAACTTATCATTTTGTCGAATCAAAATAAGTTAATTTTATTATTAGTTGGATTTCATACAACTTCTGATCGAAGCAGCCAGTACATACAGCCCCACGTCTGGAAGAAAAGAAAAAAAAAGTACATACAGCTTGAAAACTCAATATGTGGATGTACACTGTCTTAAATAGTTGTTGCAGCATTAGATAATAAGCACAAAGTACAAAACATGCTATGAAAAAAATCTTACTCTGCATTATTAACTTTGGACAATTCTCCAGCATATGGAGCGGCTGCCCTACACTACTTGGCCTAATTTCCATGATTCATTGTGACGTCAAAAAAAATGACGTCAAACCCTGAACTGAAGATAATTTTACAAGCATAACGTTAATTTACAGTAAGCATCTAATTTTCTAAATTTATCTAAATTTCTAATGTTTCGAAATTTAAAATGTTATATTTTATTGAAAATTAATTTTTCTCTATATTACGAAGAGAGTTTTACAATTTACCATTTGACTTTTTAAAGTTTTATAGTCTTATCAAAGCTATTAAAAAGCTAAAATTTTCATTTTAGTTTAAAATAAAAAATCAAATAAAAATTGTTAATCTGATATTGAATTGATGAAGGAGCGTCATATATTAAATCGAAGTCCGCAAAATTTATAACGTAAGAATTATTTATACTTTTTCGTTCTGAACGGAATAACAAAAAAAAGATAAATTCTTTATTAATTTTATCGTTATATTTCGATTTTAAATCACACCAAATTTTTAAAGTTAAATGAGGGATAAAAAAGAGAAAGACGTTATTCATTAATAGTTTTACTCAGTGTTTCAGAGGCAATTTAATTAAGCGTAAAAAATAGAAGGAAAAAAAGGAAGAAAAAAAAATGCGAAAAAAAAGGCCGAAGGACAAATTCTTAAGTCTTCTTTGTATGAAGAGGGGAAGTGAAAATTGGCTTTAACTTACAAAATATTTCTTTCTTTTCAATTTAAATTTAAATTCAAAATATTATTAAATATGTATAATGTGAGTTGCTTCAAAGAATAAATTAGATATATTAAAAACAACCTGCATGAATTTTATGATAAATAATTTTTTATATACTTCCAAGCGAAACAAATGTGAGATATATGAAAGCTTTTTATCATTAAACTGCCACACTAAAATTCTAAATTGCATCTTTTATGCTAAAGTCATCATTTACTTTAACACTTTTATACAAAGAAATTCTTTCCATTTGCCCCCTGACCTTATAAATCTTCAGAACAAAAGGACTCTTTCGTATTCTTAAATTCTTATCAAATCGCCTCGGAACAGACTCAGCAAAGCAATGTGCGATTACTCAGTACTACGATCATCGCTAACTTGCCAAATAAATTAATCTCTAAGGGGCGAGTGTTTCTATTGATTCTTGAGAAGGCACAGCTTGAGAGGCTTAAGACTAATTTATGCTCAGCCATTTGCTATGGAAACCAGCGAGCCGGGATGTTTAACATGATTAGTTATGTCTGTTGCCACTTGGTATGTATTCATATGAAAAGATATTAATATCTGAAGTCAGGCTGTCCCTTGTTACCCTGAAGGGAAAATAGTAAGGGGGACTTAGAAATTTCATTATAGAATTTCTGGTTTAAACACAGGAAAAAGATTTAAAAGACGCGGAATTTCAAGCAAAACAAGGCTGAATTTCAAATATTAGTTAACCCTATAAATCGATCACCATTAAACCACTGAATGAATTTTTAAATATTTAAGAATTATTTCGAGCTTGATCAATTCCGACTTAACAATTTTAAAAAGTAAAAAGAAAAATGATTTCTCATAAATAGTATGCTCGAAACAAATACCTAACATGTACACAAACAATTGTGAAGAATACAAAAATGAGTTATTGATATCATCAGGATGACGAACTAGAGAACCTCTAGTTCGCTCTTGTCCTCGCTCTTGTCGTCTTTTCCAAATTGAAACATTTGTTAAATTTATATCGATATTATATATATATATNCTATATATATATATATGGTCCAATAAAGTTTTGTATGCGAAAAATTCATCTATATTTAAGGAGCTGTAAAGTATTTAAATGAATTAGCTTAATTATTGAGCTTATAGATATACTCAATAGGGAGTTACAAAGTAGACAATGAATTAAAAAATTTTAAAAGGTAAAAATGAGCAGGTCTCAAAAACTCTTCTTTCAAGAACTACATACAAATATACAAAGAACGAGTAAATAAGATTGCGTTCATAATCCGGTTGAAAAGAGAAAAATTAAATCGAATTTTGAAAAAAATTCCTCATTGTCATTAATATGGTGAAAAAAATTCGGTTACAGACGACGCAAAAGTTAACTAATGTTACCCGTTTTGGACAAATTACAAGGAACCATCTAATGAATGCAAAAATAAAAAAATAAACAAAAGTTTCAGTTAAAAAAAATCAGCTGACTTTATTCTCAAATGAAAGAAATAAAAAACATTTTTACAAAAGGAGAAAAAAAAGAACATGAAATATCATTTTTATATCACTCTCAAACGTAACAAATAACTGTCATTTGTTTTAAATCTGATATCTGAAAAACGACGCTATTTATTTAACAGAATAACAGTTTACAAACCATTGAAAATCTTCAAATTATATTTAATTCTATGTTACTTATACTAAGCAAACATAAAGAAATCATACAGTTTTCGTCAAATTTTCCGCCCAGTTAAAGAAAAAATTCTATACGTACGAAGTTTTACAAGATTTCGAATGCGGAATGAAACTTTTATATTTTTAATTACACCACTTTTGCTCTCAATGAGTCATTTTCTACGGAGTCCGTTTCACCTTTAAGAAGTAATCTAGGTTTTATATCAATCATTCAACGACACATCAGAATAATTCCATTAGAATTATCTTACCTCCGTGAGCTACACATATGAGTGTGAGTGATGATCCTTCTTTATATGGACCTATCGTTTCAGATAAGGTTTTATTATCCTTATCTTTTATCACTAAACTATTTGTAGGCACTGGAAAAAAGAAAATAGTTTCATTCTTGTTAAAAATATTTCAAGTATCTACATAATATTTAGAATGCATTGTTAAATAAAGAAGTATTTGCTGTAGAATACATTAAAGATGCTTAGAATGTATTATAAATATAAAAAAAAATTGTTTTAGTATTGTATTCCCTTTATGTACTACGAAATATTGTTTAACAGTATTAAAACTACAATGTAATGGTAATGAATAAATTTATTCTATTTTTAATTGTGAATAATTCAGTATTCATCTTCTAAATGTATTTTGAGTGTTTCATTTTCGATCCTGATTTTTTAGTTTAAAAATTCTGTAGGTACTTTTCTTGTGGATACTAAAATGCTAGTCGTTGATCCACACCTTATATTTAACATAAAATTTAAAAGTACGTAAGTAAAAATAAAAATAAAATTATTATTTGGATTTATACTTTTCCTTCATAAATGAATTTAATTAAAATTCAATACCTGCTCCATGAAATTTAAAAAAATCTTTCAATTTGTAAATCCCAGTCCCAGAAAATCTTTTTTTTTATTTTTTAAATATATAATACAGTGGTTACTACACTTGAATTAAAACATTGTTTCGATGATTTTGACATAAATTAAAAGATAATGAAAATGGAAAATAACTTTCAAAATATCATATTATATTAAATATCATTTAACCTGTTTCATATTATTTTAGATTTTATATTCCAGCAAAGAATGTTTTAAAAAAAAAATCAGTTTTCGCTTATTTCTTACCAATAACATTGAGCTTTACCAACCAACTGAGAGTTCTTCCCCTCTTGAAGTCTACTCTGCACCTATAATCACCCGCATCGTCTTCTCTAACTTTTTCTAGAGTAAGTGATGCTAGACTAGGTCTTTGATTGCTCACATTAAAACGTGCTCTAGTACCAAGGACCTAGAAAAAAAAATATAAAAAGAAGTTTATATCAAAAGTATGTATGTTTAATGGATCCTGTGCATGATCAAAATTGTTGCGTGCAAAGATGTATTTGCTCGTTAATGTTATTTATGAATAATAGTAATTATTCTTTATAAGTAATAATGAATAAAGTATTAATTAAACCGTATGCGTACAAATGAGTAATTTTATGTCGATGCTATTAATGAATAATACTAGTTATTTATTACTACTTGCAGGTGTAGTTAATCATTACTATTCTTATTTTAAAGTATACCATACGATAGAAATCTAGCTAGATTAATGATATAGAGCAGTTTTAGTTTTCACACAGTTAGAATTTCATACTAGTGGAATTTTCATTCTAAAATTACACTAAATTAACCGGCTGTAGTCTATACACCCAATTCAACGTAAAGTTTACTGTAAAGCAAATTTTTTTTACGCTTACGGTTTTGAAACCATTTACAACTAGTATGGTTAAAAAAATTATGCATACAAAAATATATTGCTTTTTTAACAATTTGCATTTAGCATGGTTTCAATAAAACCGTAAAAAAGAAATTTAACTGGAGCTAGGTTTTCGTTAGATATTGGGCATTGGAGTTAGGTTGTGACTGAGTTTCGTGTTATCAAATAAATCATTGCTTAATTTGTTCATCTGGTTGTTTCACGCATCGTAAGAGTTAGAAAATATAAGATTTTTTGTGTTAAGCAGCTTTATGCTTCCATCATCTGTGCGTGAATAAGAGTATAGTATTCTAATAGTCCAGGGTCACACATTGGGGACTACAGGGGTCTGGAAACTCTTCAGGTATGGAAGGGAATGGGGGGAAAATATGGTGCCAACGCTTGAAGCTCGATCCCCCGTGCTGTCGGTAATCAGATTGATAGCACTCTCGGCTCTGATATGCAATAAGTGGCTTCACCTAAGTAGCTACAAGGAACTAAGTGAATACACTAGGTGGGCCTAATTGGTGCGATAAAATTCTGGTTTTTCAAACGTATTAGATGGAAGAAGTTAATGAGCGGTTTTTCTCACAGTTAACAGTTTGAATACTTTCGCATTTATAGTTATTGCTATGTTTTCGTTAAATGTGGTGAAATAGCAATTGAATAAATTGTTACTTAACCATTTGTCTCAATAAATTCCCAACAGTATACATGTTTATGTACTGATTCTAACTTTCACTCTTTCCAGTGAATTGCATATGTTTCAGTGTATCATTCATATACTAAATATATATTTGAAAGATGATGTAAAGATATATATATATAGATAAATATGACTGCTTACTTTACTGGAGAAATGTTTTGCGTCTCCTGGTGCAGTGACACTTCTGACATCTACTGTATATATAGGATTTGGTAAATCAAGCCTATACCACAGTACTAAGGAAAATGAATCATCCGGAGAAGGTGGGGTGAGATTGCATGGGAGAGACACAGTGGAACCAATAACGGCATGTATTTCAGGATTTTCTAGAAGGAAAAGAATTATATTTGTGGAACATGCAGAAAAGTGTTCATAATCTATGCATTTAATTTTATACTTGACCCTGCCAGAGGATTATTTTTTTTTCCTTTTTTTCCGTTTTGTTGTTGTTGTTATACTTAATGCATGTATATTTGGCCTTTTGCAATTCGATATTGATCTTATATAGGATTAGAAAGTTATATTAGTTCTAAATTCTGCATAAAATTCTTTCACTATATTGGTCATACTGCACAAACTGTGCTTCATAAACATATTTTATAGAGTTGGAGTATTTTGTTGTTGTAGTTCATTTACGTCGCACTAGAGCTGCACAACGGCCTATTGGCGACGGTCTCGGAAGCGTCTCTGAGGATGATCCGAAGACATGCCATTACAATTTTGATCCTCTGCAGAGGGGATGGCACCCCCGCTTCGGTAGCCCAACGACCTGCACGCGAAGTCGAGCACTTTACGGTAGCACAGTTTAACGAAGATCAATACCGCACACCCTCGGTCCTTACGCACAGTGATCCAAGTGGGTCACCCACCCGCACACTGACTGCAGCCAGTGATGCTTGACTTCGGTGATCTGCTGGGAACCGTGTCTTAACGATCAGTCCACTGCGGGACGGAGTATTTTGTATAAATATTAAAATTTGTGTGTCAGTCTTCGCATTTTACATAATTTCCTGAGACACACTGCTTATTACATAACAGTTATCAAGTCTTTATCCTCCTGCGGATTACGAAGATTACTTAAATCGTCTTAAAAAGCAACCAATATTCATTTTTAAAGTAGATTTTGTATGAGTTATTATATTCAAACTTTTAAATAAGCTCAATACACAAAAATACTTTAATGTCAACATTGAAATGGAGGTCTCATTTTCACAAAATATGCTCTTTCGTGAAATCTGTAAACATGAATTTTTATTATTTAGCCCCAAGTTTTTCAACTACAATTTTTTAAATACGTCTTGTACTTAATTCTAACGATTCTTTTCAATCATTAGGCTTAATTCTGTATTTACTATTAGTTTTAAACGACTTTCATTTTCGAGATATGGTGCTTTGTGTTTCGGTAGGGTGAAATAATAAAAAAAGTAAAAATGGTGATGTGACCAGCTTTCAAGACTTGTATAGATGGATTAAAAGCGAGGTAAGCCTGATCGGTGATCACCAAAGTGAGGATCGATCCCTATAGTTATTCTTGCACGATATCTCAATGATTTTAGCCACCACAACACCTATAATGTAGTTTTGACAAAAGAACATCATCATTTTTGTGCAGATTCATATATTTCAATTGCTTACTTTCTATATAATATAATATAATATAATATAATATAATATAATATCCTTATGTTATTATTTCCTTTCTCTTAAAGTAAAAATTTGGTAAAACATGAAGGTTTGGCGTTTTTGCGATTTACTTTAAACTAAACAGAGAATTACACAATGACAAGAAAACTATCAGAAATTCACAGCATAGACTAATTTATTGTTATCATAAACAGATTTTGATTTTAAACAAAAAACCTTTTTTACGAATATTTATAGCTAATTTATGCAATTAGGATGCTTCATTTACTATAAAGATCAAAAATACTGAGTATAATATAAGACAGCTGCTGATTTTTAAATAATTGAAAATATTTAAGAAACATAGAAAAATGCTTCATACTTAAGAAAATCAATAAATGCAATGTATAAAATACAATTAGTGAAAAAGAAACTCAAAACTTTGTGAAAAAACTCACTTTATTTTAACAAAACAAATTTTAAGAGAATTTTTCTTTGAAAAAATCCTAATTTACGATTATTCACAGCCGATTTATTCAATTTGGATGCTTAATTTATCACTCACATCAAAATTACTAAGCATACTCAGAGCATCTGCTGAGTTTTAGAGAACTCAAAATATTTTTTAAAAAAATAAATAAAATGTTCAATCATCTCGGGAAAAAATTTTATTCGATACAATGGAGTTGAAGAGGTATTTCTGCATTTCTAATTTAAATTTTAAAGGAAGCATAACAAGATTGCTTAAACGAAGGCTATTTACTTTTGAAGTTATTAAAATAACTGTCCCGAAACATGGGATACAAGAGAAAGAACAACATAGAAACTTGAATCTTAGAAAGAGTTAAGATAATTGAATTTTTGCAAAAAAGGCACTGACTGAGGAACCGAAATGTAAAATTGGTTAGAGTAGATAATAAATTTTTTCTTATTTAATTAAATCTCGCGGTTAGAAAAGAAAATAGTTATATTTCCTATCTTTTATATTTTTTTACCATTAAAAAGAAACTTTTTATTGCAAATTCCTTCATGATGACGAAACAGAAATAACACAGTTTCTTTCCTATTCGCGGTTATATTTTGACAGAATACGTATTTAAAATAAAGAAATTTTAACAAGGAATTCTATTTCTCCTTCTGTTGTTTATTAGAAACAAATATTGTAGTGAACGCATCGAGAATTACTTTTTTTTAAAATTAATAAAACTTGCATTGCCTAAAATTATCAAATTTGAGACACATTATGGTTTGGATGATACTAACTTACGAATTGGGGATGTGATTGAGGAATAAAATGAAATTATTGGAATGAGGAATGACGCAATTAGTAAAGAGAACTAAATACATTTCTTTAAAAATCTGTGCAAATATATATCTGTACTATATTAATTTATATACACAATCCAGTCACATTAATGTGACCATCTGTCAAAAGCCGGAATAACCACCTTTGGCAGAGTGGACCACTGCGAGACGTGCAGGAAGAGAGTCAGTTAGGTTTCTGAAGGTGTTCACTGGAATGCTCCAGTGCCATAGCCAGCTGCGCTAGATTACGCAGTTGAGGATATGTGGCGCGAGTAACCCGATAGAGGTGGTCCCACAGATTCTCGATTGGGTTTAAATCCGGTGAGTTTGCTGGCCAGGAAAGTGCGGTAAACTCATCCTTGTGCTCTTCATACCACGCACATACACTGTGAGCTGTATGACACCTCGCCTTATCCAGCTGGTAGATGCCATCATTCTAAGGAAAAATCATTCGCATGTAGGGGTGGACATGGTCCGCAAGGGCAGATGCGTACTTGTGCTGATCCATCGCTCCTTCCACAATGATGAGTACACCCAGTGAATGCAAGGAAAACATTCCCCAAACCATAATGCTCCTTCCGGTAATTGTTGCAGGGTGTTTGCTATCAGACGTTTCATGCCGTATACGCCAACGTCCATCTGTTCGATAGAGCAAAAAATGTGATTCATCGGAAAAAGCCACCTGTCACCACTATGCGGACGTCCAGTTGCGGTACTGGCAGGCAAATTCCAGCCTTCATCGCCAATGAACAGCAGTCAGCATAGATGCATTAACCAGGCTTCTGAAGCAGAGGCCCATGCGCAGCAACATTCGCTGAACCGTTGTTGAGGATACACACTTGGTAACCCCTTGGTTCATCTGGACAGTCAGTTGCTCAACAGTTGCACGTCTATTCACCCGAACGCATCTCTGTAGCTTTCCTACGCCTCTGTCATCTATAGCCCGTGGTGCACCGCATGTGCCAAGCCGCTGATTTTGGAAAGTGCCATTTTACCATGCACGGTATACTTTCACCACGGTGGCACGCGAACAGTTCACAAAATTAGCCGTTTCCAAAATGCTTCCACACTTGGCCCGAAGGCCAATAATCATGCCCTTTTGGACGTCGGATAAATCGCTTCGTTTTTGTATTACGCCAACGCTTGAAATGCTTTCCGATGCCCTAGGACAGTGGTGCGCAAACTTTTTTCGACTGCGACCCCTATTGTAGAGAGAAAATTTTTGGTGACCCCTAAAGATAAATGTCCACAAATACGATGTATATTTCGCAAATTTTTTCGTTTCATCGAATAAAAACATCTTCATATTTGACTCATATTAATTTTATTCATAATTTTAAGAAAATTCTTTTTATAAAACACAAAAATCAGTAAATTGCCCTTTAATGAGATGTCTGTGGCTGCAAGTTTCTAATTATCTCATCGATGTTTGGATGTATGTTGCTAATTGCAATTCGCAAATCATCTTCAGGGTTTAAACACGAGCGGTATTTAGTTTTTACTGAAACTAGTTTGCTGAATCCAGTTTCACATAAATACGTTGATGCAAATTGTATTAACACTCTGATGGCATTCTTGCATAAAACGGGATATTGTTTTTCCACGGATAGCCAAAATTTTTGGCAAGGCTGAGTCTTAAATTGATTTCGAAGAGTATAATCACTAATTAGATCTATCAATTGCTCTTTCTCACTAATTTGAAGAGTTGAACAGCATATGTCAAGGGAAAATGGATCACGAATCCAACCAAGATCGTTTTCTGGAAAATCCTCGAATCTTCTCGAAAAATTTTTCTTTAACTTTTCAATGTGATTGGAAATGATGTTTTTAAATGTAAATAAATCTATATTATTTTCCTTGATAAAATCGTTAAAGCAAGGGAACATGTCGGTGTTGTTTTTATTCAGTTCAGTTTTCCAGAGACTAAGCTTATTCTTAAAAGCTTGAATTTTACTGGCTACTGTTATGATAGTTGAATTCTCACCCTGCAAGCTCACATTTAAGTCGTTAAGTTTTTCGAAAATATCAACTAAATAGCTCAGCTTCAGTAGCCAAACTTCATTGATATAATAACTTGCCAATCTATGTTTCTTTTCGATTAAAAACATGTACACTTCATTTCTCAAATCAAATATCCGTCATAGTATTTTCCCACGTGAAAGCCATCTGACTTCGGTGTGTAACAGTAATCTCTCATGCGTTGAGCCCATCTAATTGAAAAGTATTGTAAAGAGACGGCTGTTTTGGCTGTTGCATTTAATGTAGTTAATTGAACTAACAGCTTCTTGTAATACGTTGTGTAACTCTTCATCCATATCTTTTGCAACAAGAGCTTGCCGATGAATCATACAGTGATTAAATACCATAAAAGGCGCCACCTTCTGAATTAAGCCTCTGAGCCCTTTATTCGAACCTGTTAATGCTGCAGCACCTTCAGTACAAACCGTAACACAGTTTGCCCAGGTAAGGGACTTTGTTTCAAAATATTCATTTATTACTTCGAATATTTTTTTCTCCAGTTGTTTTTCTTTCCAAATTTTTGCAACATAAACACGTTTCTGTTTTCATTAAAAATAATTAGTTGTGATATTTTAGTAATATCGGTAGTCTCGTCCAGTTGTGAAGCAAATACAGATGAATTTTGTATGCGTTTTATGACTTCTGACTCGATATTTCATGACATTTCGGAAATCTGCCGAGACACGGTATCTCTTGATAATGGTATTGTTTTTAGTTCATTTCAATATTTATCGCCATGCATAATTGATGTCATCTTAGTTGCTGAAGGAAGGATAAGGGATTCTCCAATTGTATGGGGTTTCATTGTTTTTCCTATTGGATAAGAAACTTTTAAAGAAGCTCGTAATGCTTTCTGAGGTATTGTTGTAAATTTCTTTAAATCTGCACTTTGAATTTTCAGATTTTTAGCTCGTCTTTGAAAAAAATCGGCATGTTTATTTTGAAGTTCTTTATGTTTAGTTTCCAGGTGCCTTTTTAATTTAGCTGGTTTCATGCTCTCATTTGCTAATTTTTCGTTGCAAATGACGCATATCGGGCGTTCTACATCATCAACAACACAAAATGTAAAACCATACTTAATAAATTCCTCATTGTATTTTCTTATTTTTTTAGATCGGGCATTTAGTTCAGTATTTTGAGACTTCTCATCAGTTTTTGTTCGTTTGTTAGCTGAAGATGTACCTGGTGTACGTATTACCCATTTATCCATTATGAAGATAGGGGTTAAATTATTTAAACTAAAACAAATAATATAAAAAATTTTATCATTTTTTTTCGAGAAATTCAATAAAATTAACAGAGATCTTTCTCTAATGATAGTACATACATGATAACAAAGAGTAGTAAAGCCCGATAAAAATATAAAAAAACAAAATTACCCAACGTCACATGATAAAACTCGAGGTTAAACTAAAACAATTGCAGGCCAACTGCTATATGCTACAACTTCATGCGAACACTTCACGTCTTCACTCTGACTATCAGATACACCGCGTACCTCGTCATCTGATTGGCGATCACGGAAGCGGATTTTTGCCCTTTCCCTGCGGTTAACGTCTAGTCAAATAGGCGCTTTTCAGTAAAACTGGCGAATTACCGCGAAGAGGGCGCTATCTACCGGAGTGAAAAACTAGCGTCTTCACACTTTACATACATTACGCATTACGGTCAAAGAAAGAGTGGACAGCATGGAATTGCAATTAAACAGTGAGTGACGGAGCTTCACTCTTTATATGTACACTGTATGGTATTCAGCATGCAGGGATAATGCATTTCATAAAAATTTGACGACCCCCAAAAAATTTCTGGCGACCCCCACAGGGATCGCGACCCCTAGTCTGCGCACCACTGCCCTAGGACATCCTTTATATACACTCTACTGTAATATGCTGCCACCTGCCTTCTGTGATTGGTTATTACACGTTGACGTCGAAGGTAGGTGGTGGGCACATTAATGTGACTGAACTGTGTATACATATATATATATATANGTGTCAATTTTACCATGAATTGAGCAAGAAATTATTTTAGAATTTCAGCTTATATCTGTGGCAGTATATATATATATATATTTAAAATAATATATATATATATATACAAACTTTATTTATAAAAATATATATATATATACACGTTTGGTGTATTTAGCATGGCTTGGTGGCCCTTTGATTAATTTGAAAGTGGTTAAGAGAATAACACAGGATACTCGCTAAAACTCGTCAATCCTCATGGTGGTGATAGATTCAACACTTAATAATGCATAAAAAACTATGTGTACTAACCTGTTGCTTCATTAAATGGATTCTTCGTGGGGTCAATTTTGTATTTAATGCCAGTTTCACCACCTGTAACAAAATAATATAATTCAGTAACATGACCTATTTAAATTTATAGCAGCTTACTTGGTATATGAGTTTAATTGTTTGTTTGTACTGTTAAATATTTAACATATAATTGATTTTTTCTCACTCGAACGTTGATTATTTTTGTAGTAGTTATATTTAAAAAAATATCTAACATCAATGCACCGGTAAAAACAATAAATAATCATATTTCGTTAAATATGACAAATGAAAATTTATTTTTGATTCATAATTTCGAATCATAATTTGAATCATAATTTGTACTATATTAATTGAATTACTTGGTTAATAGAGGGTTTGAAATACATGCGTCAGTAGAGTGCATAGGCCCATACTTAAAATGGAAGGAATGGTATCGGTTGATCAGGCTAGACTCTGTGCAATTGGAATACCCATGTCAGTTACAATATATAAGTAACAGAGTATTTATTTTAAGTATGGTGGTAGCAAAGTTTCATGTTGACATAGGACAATTTCTGGTTTAAGGAAAGTCTTATAAGCAATTATAGCGGTAAAAAAAGTACATCGAATTTTAATATTGTTGTTCAACATTTAACTGTATAGATAAGTTGTTGGTACCAGTTGAGTTCCGAACACAATAGTTGAAATACAAACAAATGCAAATGTAGATAGCTAAAATTATATTATTATTATTATTCTTTTTACTAAATCATAGATACAATTCGAAACGTTTTGCGAAAGGTGTTTTTATTCTGGGATAATTGTGAAAAATTACAAAATGCAGGGGATTTTTCAGACATCCGTTTTAATATAATTCTGAAAGAGTTATGAATATGTGAAAATATTTTCTTTGTGCGAAACAAGGCAAAAGCCATGTCTCCCAAGGAATTTGAAAACTATTAGTCGAAAACGCCATTGACAACGTTTTTGAGAGAAAAGATATTTGTAGGGTCACTTTTAACGATAAATATTTTTGGACTGCTTAATTAAAACCTATTTTTTCCTTAAATGACTGCTGAAAATTACGTTTAGGTTAAGATTACTTTAAAGCTACTTTTCTAGAGAAATCATGAAGTACTTAAATGTTAGTTCAACTTGATTTTAATTTAATTTACGTTCAGGTTAAAACCACGCTATTTTCCTAAATGAATTCACAGTACTTCTCAATGAATTGAATTTGAATGAATTCCCAAAGAATAGAATTTAAAATTGCATGTAAAAACCGCTCCCAGAAAATGACATTTCAAAACATGCTTTTATTCTATTATATTTCTGTAATAGAATTTAACATGAAACCTGATAATAATGAGGTATAATTCATTGTACGCGTTCTCCTAAAATACCATTGGAACTAACTAACCTTTTCTTAATACCGTTAGAAAGGATGTAAAAACAAGAAGTAAATACGTAATATTTCCTCCTCGTCTACTCTTCTGAATAAATTGTTCAAGACTGTGGAAATTTTTTTGAGATAGAAACTCATCTAACAATCATTCTTGATGCCTGGATGCATGCCTTATAAAAAGAATACAGCATACGTAAAAAGATGATAGATAGTGCTTTTTGTTAAAGGAAGCAGAGATATGCTTGCTGGTAGGAATAAAAAGGAGAAAAAAAAAAGAATATTGCGAATAAGATATGATGGTGGAGTGAAAACAAAAAGAACAGAACAGAGAGACTATAGCGGAAGTAAGGGAAAAAGTTCCGACTTTCAACGTAAGCTTCCGACATGCTGTACGCATGGATAAAACTTTCAATCATCCCTTAAACAATAATAAAACACATTCTGGACAAGTTTCTGAAAACTTTGCCTTTGTTCTTTAACGCTTTCTTGAATTATTTTTCACAGTGTTCTTTTGATAGTGTTCTCTCTGGTGATTACTTTGTTCTAAAATTCTTATTTAGTTAAGCGTAAACTGCAATAAAGCAAATTGCGAGAAGGATAGAATTTATTAAAAAAAAATAATTGTTGAAATGATTTAACACATTTATAAATACATAATTATTGCTATATATTTGTAGCAATAGTCATTTAATATATATTTTAAAATGCGCGTAATAATGTAGTGGGCTCTAAAATACTGTGATATATGATCATTTGGAAAATGCATTAAAATTAGGAACTGTTTGGATTTCTTATATTCGCAAATACAACCGACTTAACGAGAGACATTATAAGCAACAAAACAATTTAAATTATGATCCTATTGATATATGATGATTATTTTGTTAAAAACAATTGAAGGAATTTTGTTGGAACTAAAATTTGATCAATTTCCACCATCATAGCTTGGAATGATTGTAAGTTTGCAAGCATGATCATTTTGCTTAAATCGTGATAAAATTCAGATCACTTTCCTTGACAGATATTTTAAATATATATTAGGAGGTAGTTATATAATACATATTAATTACAATATTTAGCTTAGATGGAAAAATATCTTTATAATGAAAGGAAAATTCAACAGTATTTATGAGTGAACTGCATAGGAAAGCAGCTGTTAAAGACCAATCCTCATTTCCTAGGGTCAGATTTATGTCCAATGATCTGCAACAGCACTTTTGATAATTACCAATGTTTTGAGTGAAGCAACGAAAACGAATAAACGATTCACCCCAGTTTAAGTTAATTTAAATTTTTTAATGATAAATATTTTTGTGAACTAAAATTTGAAAAAGATATCAAACTAGGAATAGATTTACATGCCTAAATTTAAAAAAAAGTTATGACTGCCTATACAATTTTCATAGTTCTTCATAGTGTTAATAAAATCATAAACTGTTCATCATACACTGTTAAGTAGAGACTTTTATTCTTTTGTGACATACGCAGCCGTATTTAGCCTTTTTTGCTTTAGGGCTTCATTTAACTAATGACGAATAGTTACATTTATAATAAGTCAAATCAACGTATTTATAAAAATATAACATTATAATATCTTGTACAATATACATAAAAACGATTATTTAATGTAAGTATATAATCTCAAGTGAATGTTTTAATTAGTTATGGAAATCAGAAATTAACTGCAAATGAGAAATAAACAAGAACAACATGCATTTTATTTTTGATAAATTGAAGAAAAAAATAATTAGTATAAAAGAAGAATTCAGTTAATTTTATCAGCTATTTACTGTGAAACAATATGTTTGCATTTATTCATGCCAGTTACATGTTTCTGCGAAAATAAAAATAAAAATAGTTTATAATAGAGCCTTTTTTCATTTTACATTGGATGAGACAAAATTCCTAAAACTAGTGCACTTTTAAACATAATATATATTTCATGGCATCGTATTTTCTCATATCTGAAAATTTTATTAGCTTAGCACCAACTAATAAGATGCCTATCATATGAGAGTAAACACTCAAAAATAATTTTAAAAAACTGTTTTGAAGCGAGTAATAAGATTAACTCAAAAATAGAGAAAAAAATGCAATGATTATTCATTTTTTATCCTAACTGTCCCTGCACTTGCTGCTAATTGTCACTCACGAAGATAATTACTTCTGAAAAGTAAATAAAATTACTAATATATTTTCATCGGATGCTTCATTACCTCTGCTGTCTTGCTGAGCTTTACTTTTCAAATAAAATTTATTTTCTCAGCAATTTTCATTTAACTATGCGTCAGTTTATATAAACTTAATAATGTATTTAATTAGAAGCATGTTAACTGTAAAATCTATTTCAAGCCATTCAGTTTGATATTTTTTTAACAAACTATACATGTCAATCCTCATGGNTATATTGTATAATATAGATAAAACGATTATTTAACGTAAGTATATATTCTTAATTAAATGTTTTAATTAGTTATAGAAATCAGAAATTAACTGCAAATAAGAAATAAACAACAACATGCATATTTTATTTTTGATAAATTGAAGAAAAAAATAACTATTATCGAAGAACTACATTTAAGAAGCTAACAATATGTTCAGTTAATTTTATCAGCTATTTACTGTGAAACAATATTTTTGCATTTATCCAACGTCTGTAACATTTTTCTGTGAAAATAAAAAAATAATTAATTATAATAGAGCATTTTTACTTTTTACATTCGAAGAGACAAAATTCCAAAACTAGCACACTTTCAAACATAATATATATTTCATGGCATTGTACTTTCGCATGTCTCAAAGTTTTATTACTTTAGCAACAACTAATGAGATGCCTATCATATAAGAGTAAACACTCAAAAATAATGAAAAAATATTGTTTTGAAACGAGTAATAAGATTAACTCAAAAATGGAGAAAAAAAATGCAATGATTATTCATTTTTTATCCTAACTGTCTTTGCACTTGCTGCTAATTGTCACTCAAGAAGATAATTACTTCTGAAAAGTAAATAAAATAACTAATATATTTTCATCGGATGCTTCATTACCTATGCTGTCTTGCTGAGCTTTCCTTTTCAAATAAAATTAATTTTCTCAGTAATTTTCATTTAACTATGTGTCAGTTTATATAAGCTTAATTTTTGTATTTAATTAGAAGCATGCTAACTGTAAAATCTATTTTAAGGCATTCAGTTTGATACTTTTTTTAGCAAACTATGCATGCTTGAATATTACTTTGATTTGAGAAATCAGTTTCTAGATATAACATTTCATAGTTTTTATTCATATTAAATTTTTTAAACAATATCGTTTATTTGATAAAAAACTAAAGAAAATTTTAGTTAAATAATTAAAAATATGCAAGCATTGGTTTTAGTAACAATAATTTAAAATTAATTGTTAATTACTTTAAAAAAGAAATACAAATGTAATTAATGCGAGGTATTTATTACAGTGCAACCTTATTATTATTAGCATGTTAACATATATATATATATATATATAACATATATATATAACGAATATATATATATATAACTCAGAAATTAACCCTAAGCAAGACATCAACGAAATCAAATAATTTGAGAAATAATTAAATTTACAAAAATAGCCATGGAAAAAAATGTTAAAAATAACTCCTCTGACTGTCCTCTAAATGACTTTAAGACTACTACT